ATTGCTTAAAAGATTTTGCTCACTATACCAGTTACAGTTGTATCAGCAGAAAGAAGTTTCTCCAAGTTGAAATTGATCAAAACTTATCTCCGTTCAACTATGTCGCATCAAAGATTGAATTGATTGGCCATGTTATCCATTGAAAAATAAATGGTTGAAGAACTTGACTATACAAAATTGATTGATATTTTTGCCTCAAAAACTGTAAGACGAGTTATATTTAAGTTATCGGTTGGAACATCTTCGTATTGTTATTTCATTGCAGAATAAATATTTTGAATATTTTATTTTTATTTATTACTTTATTGTTAATTTTAAATTAACAAATTTAGTTCCGTAAGACTCTTATAAATGAAAAAAATTGTCTGCTATGACTTATGAGTCCAAATTTTGAAATTCGCCTCAAGTCCCGCGAAACACAGATGCGGCATTGGCTGCCACCATAACCACCATTGTCCACACCATAAACTGGACCGTCACCATACGACCACATCTGTGCGCCATTATTACCACCATAAATTAGGCTAGTTAGCAAATAACAATCACATATCTCCACCATAAATCACACACCCGTTTACACCATCACCAGATTTGTGCACCGCCATAGCATCCATTTTAAGGAAATCAAACTCAAAAAGTAAGAAAAAAAACTAGTGGATATATCGAGTTTGAGAGTCACTATAGTGAAGAGAGCTATGTGTCTCGATAAACATTTGAATAACATTACCTTTCTTTCCCTACATGTGTACACCGTGGTGTAAGCTAGACCAGTACCTAAGCGGTAGAGTGGTTATTAGAGCATTAAAATTTGAATCCTACTTGAAAGGTAAGAAAGGAACCGCGGTGATCTTTAATAGGAATCTTACAGCGATAAATAGAATCCCATAAAATACTACTAGATCGAGCACCAATGCTTTCGTATCTGGTCTACAATATATAATTAAGCATAATAGTCATATTCCATAATCCTCGATATCCTACTCTATTTCGCATGCATACGTGGAATGTAAATCAACGAAGATCAATTTTCCATATTGGATCTTTCAAGCAAATTCTATGTCAATTTTGAAAAAACGATATAAATAAAATTGAGAGCCACTATTTTTATTTATCATTCTTATATATGTATCTCACTCTAAATTTACCCATTTTGTGGTAAGATCGAAGAGTTCAAAACTTTTCTATCAGACATCTCAATTGCAAACCTTAAGGTAGTGAAGGATATGAAAATTCCACAAATATTTCAATTATAAATATATGGATCCATCTCTAGATAATTTTATTTGAATTTATACTTTGTGAAAGATGGATAGTACTAAAGTTAATTAGCATGCATATTCAGTTGGTTTATTCACTTAGGGAAAATCGCACTGGTAGTCCCCAACCCCCTACTGTTTGAGCACTATATATGTTGGTCCTCCAACCTTTGAAAGGAGCTAATTGGTCAAGTTGCACAATCGAAGAGGAAAGCAACCTCCAAATATTTTGTTAAACCGTCACATAATCCTCCCGTGTCTAACTTTACGAAGATAAATTTTGTATTCCGACTTGAAGCAGTGTCTAGAATTTTGAACTTATGCATACTTTTACAAGGGGTCACGTGACGATTTAACTGAGTTTTGGATGCTTACTATCATCGTGAAATGAGTCTGAAACTAAAACTAAAAGTTAACTTGCTACTTGAACAATATGTAGAGTACCAATTCAACAATTGATAGAAATTTTATTCGTCGTGAATAGAGTAATGTTTTATCCTTCAATCTTGCTTGCAATAGTAATATATCTATTTAAGACATGCAGTGAAGAATTATGCACTGGAAAAACGCATGCTCAAATAAGCTATTAAAAGAGGGGGCTGGGAGCAGAAAGAATAGATTTGGAATAGGATTAAAGAAGATAGTTTATGACTTTATGTTGTTCTTATACGATTTTGTAGGAATTGAATCAGATGAAATTGATCTCATGTCCCCAGTGGACGGGATAAAAATTTCTCGCTACTGACATGACACATATTGATTCAGATTAAGGAATGTAATTTTTATTTTTTGTGTTACGTTGATAAAGTAATGCATGCATTTATGATGAATAAAAGCAATAAAAAGGGAAAATTTGCATCCACGGTTTACAATCTATATGTAAACGTAATATAGATTTTATTTTTATTTTTTTTGAAGTGGATGAATATATAAGAATGGTAGATGAAAATAGACTTCCTGAGCTAAGGGCTTAGACTTACGCCAACTTCTTCTTCTTCTCGTTAAAGAACTAATGGCTCCAAATGAAAGAATAGTTGTTTTCCCATTCATGGAACAAGGCCATATTATCCCTTTCTTGCCAATGGCACTGAAACTAGAACAAGAAAAAGCCAATGAAATAACCTTTGTAAACACCGCTCTCAATATCAAGAAACTTCAAGATTACATCCCTAAATTCTCAAACATTCGACTAGTCGAAATCCCTTTTGACAGCACAGAACATGGCCTTCCTCCGAACTCTTGGCTTATCGAGTCATCTCCATCACTGAAACCCGCTTTCATGAATCTGGTTTCCAGTCTTGTAGAGGAGGATAATGGTGGGCTGCCCCTGTGGATTATTTCAGACATGTATTTTGCCTGGTCAGTCGAGGTTTCTCGCGTGTTTGGAATATTCCATGCAATTTTAAATGTTGCTAGAGGTTATGGCATGGCTGTTTGGCACAATACATGGTTGAATCTTCCTCATTTGAAATCAAACTCTGAAGAGTTTTCCCTCCCTGGTTTCCCTCGGGGTTATAGGTTTAAGAAGGAAAATCTGCCACAACATCTTAGAGAATGCTAAAGTCCTTGAAATTTGTAATAACACGTTTCGAAAATTGATTAAAGATTGATGCAATGTTGTTCAACACGATAGAGGATATTGATAACACATGATTGACATATTTCAGGGAACAATACCCGAATTATTCAGTACATCCTCTAGGGCCAATTCTTTCATCTGCAGGTAGCAAAGCACAAGGGGGAGAAGAAGCAGAAGCAACATTGAAACATTGCATGAAATGGCTGGATGAAAAGGCACCGACCTCAGTTTTTATGTGGCCTTCGCCTCACAAAGTTCTCCGTCTGAAGCTCAAACGAATGAATTGGCCAAATCGCTTGAGGCTTGTAACGTCAATTTTCTTTGGGTTTTTAGGACACCTTCAGATTGCTCAAATAGTGTGGCTTCCTGAAGGTTTAGAGGAAAGGATTAAGAACAGCAAAAGGGGTTTACTTCTAAAAATATGGGCACCCCAGATGGAAATTTTGTCCCACAAATCTGTTGAAGAATTGGGAGTTTGTGTTGGAGTCGCAAATGGACAAAGTTACATTGAGCATGAAGATACTGAGGAGAAGATTGAATTGGTGATGGAAGGAACAGAAGGAGATTTGATGAGAAGAAAAGCGATAAAGATTATGGGGATGAATCGGATGATTAAGGAAGGTAGTCTTTGGTCTGAAAAATGGAAGCCATGGATGACTTTCTTAGTGCAGCAAATAGTGCATAGATATGAGAAAAAAATATTGAGTTATCATTATTGAAATACTAAATGTGGACTTTAAGATGCAAGAAAATGAGAAAACCTCTACTTAATTTGGAAATATCGGATAATCTTTGTTAATTGCAGCAATGGTTCACACTTCGTATGCTGTACCATCAGAGAGGTCAGTATTATTTCGGCAAGCTAGATTGTGACTTGAGTTCAATGAGATGTACAATAAGTAGAAGGAAAAATGGTGAATGGAACAGGTTTTCAATGATTTGGTTGAGCAGAAGATTCTGGTTCCTTGAAAAACCGGACCAAACCACACTGTGCCCAAGGCTACTGGTAGGATATTGATTTATGATACAGCCAGTATTACTCGAGCTATGTTGAGTAATTGGAAACTTTAGTTGATCCATATGACTGCAGTTTTTTAAACCTAATAGGTCCTAATTGGAGTAAACAGAATACAGGATCCCTTCTATAAAAGTGTGTTTCTTTCCAGCAAGTGGCGGAACCAGGAATCGGATTCAGTAGGGGCAAGACGAATTTTTTTTCTAATAAAGCAAATAGCACAACATTAATTAAATTGTTTCCCCTGCTTTCAAGTCAACAAACTAAGTATCTAGAGTCGGTACAATGATAATGCAAATTTTTTTTAGAAGTATATAGACGCTGTCAATTTCAGGTTATCGATCTCTATTTAAAAGAATACCAAAACTATGTATGACATTCCAAAGGATAACCAAGGGGGTGTTTGTTTTTGATTTTTACCATCAAAACATCCACAAAATACCAAATCCAGCAACAAATCCAACTGGGAGGAAAAAATTCATCCACCTCTACAGATAACGCCAATTCCCTGCCCACTAAAATATTGGCATTGTTCAATAATTACCAGTCACTACACAGCATGTGTGTGTGATGGCAGTGGGGAATAGGTTAGGGAAACATAATCTATATTGTGAACTACTGACTCACAATCTAAATCCAGAAAGCATGGATGGCAGCTTATGATGCGAAGTACTTCATCAGTTCATCTAAATCAGCTTCATCAACACCAGATCCTGTGCCATCAATTTCAAGACTAAATGGATTGTATCCTGCATAGTCAGGTGTATGGAGAGGAGATGGAAAACGTATGTCTACAGGCCTTTCTGTCTCAGACGGAAACGTATCTTTCACATAATGGGGTAACTCTCCACCAGCAATAGCATTTCCATTCCTATGTAGAATTGGTAAATGGATACCAGAATCCCCTTGTCTGTGCTCCACCTCATTATATGCTGCCTCAGATTGCTGTCCTTCATGACTTAAACCAACTGCTTCTGATTGGTTATAGAAATGATAAGCTGATCCATCATGAAGCCCCGAATTCTGAGATCTCAGAGGTAGAGTAGAATCTTGAGGTCCAGACTGCCATACAGAACTTGAAGCTCGACGACGGAATTGCAGGTTGTCCAGTTCATGAGGCAACACAGAACTTTGAGGTTTTAAGTCGGACTTAGAAAGATGAGCAGGCAACTCAGTATTTTCAGGTGCATGACTTAATTGAACATCACAATTTTCAAAATCAGAAATTTCAGCCACTGGATAAAGTAAGGATCCATCAGCCGTTGACATAGTTTGAGTGGTGATGGGATTGGCAGAACGAAAGGCACAAAAAATGTCATAATCAGAATCCTGAAAGCAGGGTTGATCTTCAGCATTATTCCCCTGAGGCCTCATCACTTTTATTCCATCATTTTCTGGCTGGCTTTCATTTGTCAGGGAGCTCATTAAATGTACATCGGAGGGTCTTACATCCATCAGAGTGTCGTCAGGATCATCATGCGGACGGTCATTGAGAGATGGTACATCCCGTTTGTTACCACGGCTAACTTTAGGGGGTTTTCTTTTCCGGGATTGTTCTCTACCTCGCTCCTTGTCTTTGGCTGGTGGAGGAGTAACATGAACAGGAGGCTCAACAGGCACACCATCCGTTGATTGTTGTACCATCTCATCTCTTGATGTAACAGATCCTGGGCCATCATCAACATCATATTCACTGACACTGCTAAAAGAAGTTTTCCTCTTTTCACCACGGCTTCTTGAAGGTGCCTCAATTATGCTAGATGAACCATTATCACTGCTAGGCTGCCGGATGAAAGCTTCCTCCTTGCTCAAAACACCCAACCAAATTGCACTCTCTTTGGCAGTCATCTTGTCCTGTAAACACTTCGACTGCCTAACTAGTCTCCTAATCTTTGAAATATCAGGTGACATGTGCTTTACAACAGCAGTTAGCACCCCAACTTTCCACATCTTTTTCAGATCATGTGGCTTCTTATATGGTGGAGTCTGACCCTTGGGCAATCCCAATCTCATCCACCATTCCTCATATCCAGTTGGCCACCAAGGCGGAGGGGTACCCTTCTCAAGTGGATACTTCCTTTGCGGTGGATTGCAATGTTGCATCAGGGAAGATAATAGCGATCCCAACGTCGCATCTTGCAAGTCTGGAAGCACACTTTGTGAGGTTCCTTTATAATTACCACACCCATCTTCCCTGACAAGGCATTCGGCCTCATACTTAGCAATGGCTGCAGGCCCATTCTTGTCAAACCTCACCTTTTCCTTCCACCAAGCTCTTATATTATCTGATGAACCGCTGACTGGCTTACCTTTCTCGGGGATAATACCGTACACAAATCCACGAGCCCTGCAGACTTCCATGAGCTTCAACATGTACTTCAAAATCCCATCTTGAGCTCGTGCCATCTTCTTCCGGCGTGCCTGATCAGTGGTGGACTTGACCTTCTGCTTCTCTGCAGCTTGCCGTGCTGCAAGCTTCTGCCTTTCCTTGATCCTCTTGAGTTT